CTCTCTAGAACCTCTCTAGAGTTGACCGGACGTAGGCACCCTAGCGTCCAATGCTCCTCCACTCAGCGTCCAGTCAGTATCAGACAACTGCAGTTGATCAAATGAACTGACCGGACTCACCCTTTAGCGTCCGATCACAACCAGACCAACGTCTGGTCAGTCATTTGACCCTCCATTCACTTTCAACTCGAAATCCTATGTGAATGAAGTTGACTCCAATTGATCTTAGGGCTATTCCTGAGCTACCTAGTGTAAGGTTTGACAAGTGTGCACCACACCTAACCCCCTAGACTCACTTAGGTCAAGCTACTAGTCCATACCCCCCTTAATAGTACAGCCAAAGGAGAAACAAAGTCCTAAACTACTCTAAGTGTATCTCCAACACCAAACGACATTTAGAACTAGTCCATCCTTAACCTTGTCGTCCATCCTTTGAAAATCGAAATGATTTCCATCGACTAGGGCATGACAACCATGATTGCCCAATCAATTTCCATTACCATGACCTAACTCATATTGCCTCTGCAAAATACACGTTAGTCATAGTAATCTCGTGTCATCATTAATCACCGAAACCCAACTAGGGGCCTAGATGCTTTCAAGGATGATGAGGCCACTCTCCTGATGGCGATATTTTGTGCACTACACGACATTGAGGCGAAGGAGAAGGGAGAGGTGATGGCGGTGGAAGGGCATGGCAAGGCTCTGATGGCTGTCATCATCGACAAATCGCTGCGCCCAAGTCCACCTCGGATGTGTGGGCGGTGAACAAGAGCAGCGGTGGTACCTGGACGCTGGTGCCAGCAACCACATGATGGGCTCTAAGGAAGTCTTCTTCGAGCTCAACGACAACGTGACCGGCACGATAAAGTTCGGTGACGGCTCAAGGGTGGCAATCCGAGGGCGTAGCACCATCATCTTCAGGTGCTAGAATGGTGAGCACCACGTACTGATGGATGTGTACTACATCCCGTAGCTACGTTCAAGCATCATCAGCATCGGGCAGCTGGACAAGCGCGGATGCGAGGTACTGATCGAGAGCAAGATCCTGAAGATTCGGGATCGAGAGCGCGTCTTCTCACGAAGGTAAAACGCTCACGTGATCGATTGTACCTGCTCGACTTGAAGGTTGAGCAGCTGGTGTGCCTGGCAGCACGGCACACCGAGGAGCCATGACTGTGGTATGCTCGATTCGGCCATCTCAGCTTCGACGTGCTTGGTCGGCTGGAGAAGATGGTCAAAGGGCTGCCCCACATCAAGCACGCTGGTGAGCTGTGTGACAGTTACCTAGCCGGGAAGCAGAGGAGGCTGTTGTTCCCAAAGGCAGCCAAGTATCACGCGGTGGACGCTCTCTAGCTCGTCCACAGCGATCTCTGTGAGCCAATCACGCCAGCCACAAACGGTGGTCGGCGGTACTTCCTCCTATTCGTGGATGATTCAATCGCTATATGTGGCTGCAACTCCTGACGAGCAAGGACAAGGCGGCAAAAGCGATCAAGAAGTTCAAGGCGTGCGTGGAGGCAGAGAGCGGCAAGAAGTTGCGCGTGCTGTGGATTGATCGCGGCAGCGAATTCACTTTGGTGGAGTTCACTGCATACTGCGCGGATCAAGGTGTGGTGCGACACCACACCGCGCCATACTCACCACAGCAGAATAGCGTGGTAGAGCGGTAGAACCAGACGGTGGTCGGCATGGCTTGATCCATGATGAAGGCCGAGAGCATGCCAAGGTTCTGGGGTGAGGCGGTGACCACGATGGTGTTCATCCTCAACCGCGCTCACCAAGGCCCTGAAGGGCAAGACGCCGTTCGAAGCTTGGTATGGGCGCAAACCAAGCATGTCCTTCCTTCGAACATTTGGCTGCATCGGCCACGTCAGGAAGACGAAGCCGATCCTCACCAAGCTGGAGGACAGGAGCCCACGATGGTGCTCCTGGGCTACGAGAAAGGTACCAAGGCGTACCGGCTCTACGACCCACATGGAGGCAAGGTGGTTGTCTCGCGTGACGTCGTGTTTGACGAGAAGGCAGCCTAGGACTGGGACAGTCTAGGCACGGGGGAGGCTGACGGCTTCACCAGCACCTTCGTCGTCGAGCACTTGGTCATCCATGGTGGTAGATACGTTGGAGAGGAGGTGTCGACCACTCCAGCAATAGAGCCGAGCACTCCAAGACGGGTGCCGAACGCTCCCGTAGCAGAGCCGAGAGGTCTTGTAGTGGTGCTGACCACTCCAAGACTGGTGTCGAGCACTCCAGGAGGGGTGCCGACCACTCCAGGAGTGGTGACGAGCGGTCCAGAAGTAGTGCCGAGCACTGCAGCCGGGGTGCCGAGCACTCTAGGTGTTATGCCGACCACTCCGACGGAACAGGGAACTCCATCGACGCCAATCGAGTTCGCCTCACCTCCAAGCGACATCACTAAGTTCGTGGATGCCTTCCACGACGGTGAGGAGGTGTGGTTCCACAGGCTGGACGACATCGTCGGCGGCACAGGGTTCTCAGGCCTGGCGGGTCGGCTGCTCAATGACCCAGAGCTGCTTCTCGTCAGTGCAGAGGAACCACCCACGTTCGCGTTGGCCGAGCGCGATGCAAATTGGCAACGGGCGATGCTAGAGGAGATGAAGCTGATCGAGGAAAACAAGACTTGGGAGCTCGTCGATCCACCTCCAGGATGTCGTCCGATCGGCCTGAAGTGGGTGTACAAGGTCAAGCGGGACAAGCGCGGCGCCATTGTCAAACACGACGGCCACAGCGGCGTGCCAAGATGTGTGGCTGCGCCGGCTGCTGGGCGAGCTGACCGGTGTGGAAGCTCACCCACCAGCACTGATGGTGGACAACCAGCCCGCCATGGCCCTCGCGAAGAATCTAATTCTCCACGACCAAAGCAAGCACATCGACATCAAGTTTCACTTCCTCAGGGACTGTGTCGATGTAGGACAGATCGTCATCGAGTTCGACGAAACTGGTCGACAACTCGCGGATGTCCTCACCAAGACGCTCGGCCGTCTTCGGTTCACGGAGCTGAAGAAGATGATCGGCATGGTGGAGGTTCTTGGGTTAGCAGCAGGATTAGAGGAAGAATTATAAAATAATCTGCTGCTCTCCCATCATGTGAACGCTGGCGGGAAGCAGTGCCGAAAGGTTTCCCTGTCAGACCAGTAGCCTACAACAGGCGGTGCCAAAGGCAGCCTCTCTGTCACATCACATCTAGTCATCAGAAAACATGATGACCTAGCATGTCTATGTACTAGGATCAGATGGGTAGAGTTGTATATATAGCTTTCCACTGCAACTCAGTAAAGAGAGCAAGTTCAGTTTTGCCATCTCCTCTGCAAAGCTCCGATCAACGCTGATGCTTGTGCTGTGTGTGCGCGCTTTGTTCTTCCTTTCTTCTTCTACCTCTAGCCATAGTATGTGGTCGGCAATGCCGCGCCAACACTTCTCGTAGCCGCTCAGCTCCCAACGTTGGCATGTGCGTGGTAACGAAGGTGGTCAAACACTAAGGCCCCGTTTGGGACAGCTTCCGCCGGCTCCAGCTTTTCTGACCGCGACACTGTAGCGCGAAGCTAGTTTTCTCTCTCCTCCCCTCCCTCTCTCACTGACATCGGCACTGTTCATAATAGCCGGAGAAGCCTGTTTTCCTGTCTTTTCCCCGCGTGCTACAGTGCACGTGCTACAGTGAGACAGAAAAGTAGGAGAGAGAAAATCGGCTTTTTGCTACAGTGTTTTGTCAGGTAAGCCGGAGCCGGTGGAAGCCGTCGCAAACGGGGCCTAAACGCGCCAGTTAAAAATATGTCTGCAAGCTGCCAATAAACTCGATTTCAGATCGTCACTTACGAGGTAAGAGCAAGTACAGTGCAAAATGCTTTGACACGGGCTTTTCAGTCTTCGAAACAGGACTTCGTTGATGTGATTCAGCCTGAGTTTGCAAGAGATAAACTGTAATAATCTTCATAGCGTTGCTGGGAGTTAGTGTTAAAGGCCTCTTGTTTTTCTGTTAAAACTGTGGCGGGCGCGCCTATACGCTGTGCGCTGAATGTTTCTGAACGCTTTATGGCAATAAAGCGGTGGTAACCTTTTGTCTAAAAAAATGCTTTAAGACGTGTTAAAGAGAGAACATTGTCATATCACTAAGCATATTTGCAATAGAGATGCATGAAGGACTTTGAACTAATATCCTAGGAGATACAGAAATCGCTTTGACCTAATAAACTAGGAGCAGGAGCTAGACTTAGTACCACCTCCTCGCGCCAAAAAAAGAAAAAGAAAAAAAAAAGACTTAGTACCACCTATTGCAATAGAGTGTTACCTTATTTGATGATTTTGAGCTGAACCATTTGTCGATGTAATAAAAAGATAAAAAAAAATCAGTACCAGAAACATTTAAAGTTTTGTTTTATAAACATCTGCTGTGTAATCAAATCACTATTATTCCTTCTCCCACATTTACTTCTGACATATGCGTAGGAGATAAACTCTGAATCTAGAGTGTGTGCATATTGTTGCAGTGATATTCATATGCTAACTAGAGAATGCCCTTATTTATACACTGCTGCTAACTCAGGCCCTTTTCTACTGCATCTCACTTTTTTATTTGTTAACCAACCTAGTCCGGTTAGCCAATTCTTACAGGGAAACAAAGCCACATGTGCTAAATATTTTTGACTAGACAACGGTGCAAACTAACTTGATCGGATAATCGAGGATGAGGTGGATCAAGTTGGGCTGTTAATGGGCCAATTTTGTGTGTTGAGCTTGAGCTAGGCTAACATGAATTGTACTGCCTATTTGAACAATTATTATTTGTTTCTCAAAAATTTGAACAATTATTTTAATAACTGATGGTTTTTTTTTTTTTGCGAATAATAACTGATGGTTTTCTGACCAATGCTGTACTCCATGTCGCTGCAAACTTTGTCGTGAGTTGCAATGCAACTATAGTGGATGGGGTTCACTACTGAAGCATTGCATCTGACGATTTTCATTTGTTGTGTCAATTTCAGGTGATAGATCTTACGACAAGCTCCTCGGCGGCCTCTTGGCAGACGGATTCGACGAGAGATCCTGCCACAGCAGGTACCAATCCGCCATGTACCGTCGCAGGCCTGGCAGGCAGCCTTCGGCGTACCTCGTCTCCAAACTGCGGCAGCAGGAAGCCTTGCAGAGGCGGTGCGGGCCGGGCACCGTCGCCTACAGCAACGCGCTGGAGCAGCTCAGGTCGGGGTGCAGGAGCGGCGGCGACATTATCGCCTCGCCCGAGTGCAAGTACCTGGTTTCCATCTCGTGCCGGGGCCTCGGGAACCGGATCCTCGACGCCGCGTCGGCGTTCCCGTACGCGCTGCTCACCGAGCGCGTGCTCCTCGTGGACCCCAGCAACGAGATGGGCGAGCTGTTCTGCGAGCCCTTCCCGGGCACGACGTGGCTCCTGCCGTCGTCGGGCTTCCCGCTGGCGAGCTACACCAAGTTCAGCATCAGCACGGCCGAGAGCTACGGGAACATGCTGCGGAACAAGGTTCTCAGGACCGACGATGTCGCCGGGACGCCGCCGGTGTTCTCGTACGTCCATCTCGACCACGACGCCACCGAGCAGGACAGGTTCTTCTTCTGCGACGACGACCAGAGGGTGCTCCGGAACATCCCGTGGCTGGTGATGAGGACGGACTGCTACATCGTGCGGGGGCTGTTCCTGGTCACGGGGTTCCAGGAGGAGCTCGGCAGTCTGTTCCCGGAGCCGGACACCGTGTTCCACCACGTCGGCCGATACCTGTTCCACCCCAACAACCACGTCTGGGGCCTCGTCACGCGCTACTACGACGCCTACCTCGCGACGGCGCAGCAGCGGGTGGGCATCCAGGTGCGCGTCTTCGGCACCCAGCCCAACTCGCCGGAGCTCCTCGAGCAGATCACCAAGTGCACGCAGAAGGAGAGGCTGCTCCCGGAACTGCTCACCGCGGCAGAGGCAGAGCCCCTGGTGCCGGAACCTACCCGGAAAACCAAAAGCCGTCCTTGTCACCTCGTTGAAGTCCTGGTACTACGAGAAGCTCAAGGGCATGTACTGGGAGCACGCGGCAGCCACCGGCGACGGCGAGGCGGTGAGCGTGCACCAGCCGAGCCACGAGGAGTTCCAGCGGTTCGGCGCCAAGTCGCACGACGCCAAGGCGTGGGCCACGATCTACCTGCTGAGCCTGACGGACGCGCTGGTGACCACGGCATGGTCGACGTTCGGGTACGTCGCGCAGTGGCTCGGCGGCCTGAGGCCGCGGGTGATGTACAGGCCGGACAACGACACCCATGTGCCGGATCCGCCGTGCGGACGGGACGTGTCCATGGACCCGTGCTTCCACGCGCCGGCGCTGTATGAATGCAGGCTGAAGCGGGGGGCGGACACCGGGAAGATTGTGCCGCAGGTCCAGCACTGCATCGACATGACCTGGGGTTTGAAGATTGTTCATCGCAGCTAATACAGGTAGTAAAAAATGTACATTGGTGGCTTCAGGGCAAAGATAGAAGATTTATCATTGGAAAGCACAGATTGCTGTCATGACATGCGTCTAACACCTGAAGACACATGAAAAAAAATGAAGAAGAGAAGGTGTTAAGCTAAGCCAAGGAATTAGTTGATGATGGCTCTATGAACTTCAAGCTGATGGATGCAGTGAAGGGCACACGAAGAGAGGACAATTATAATCAATCAATCAAACAAAAGTATTTTGAAGATTATTTTTCAAATAAAAAAACCAACTTTAGAACCTGTTAAAACTAGAATTGAATGCATGGTAGTATCGATCCTCATCGAGCTTCGGTGACAAACTTTATAAATTAGAATGTCATTCTTGTTTATTAAAAAATTGATAAATCTTAAATTTGATAAATATTCACAAATATTATTATTATTAGTTGAATCATGAAATTATTTTCACAATAAATTTACTTAGAGACACAAATATTAATAATATTTTCATAAACACTAGCTAGCAACCGGTTGTTTGGGCGTCTCCCAGCAACCGGATTTTGAGCCATCCGATATGGCACATGGCGCGCTTTGGGCCGTTCGATCTCGCACTCTCTCTCACTCCTGATGTTTCAACGGCTTGCGCTCCCTCCGCCGCGTGTGCCTGCGCGTGTGGGGCGTCCGGCGTGAGGACGTCGGCATGTCGCGCAGGAGCGCCAGGTCATCTGCAAGTCGGGTGTGAAACATGGCATTCTCCTCCCGCAACCGCGTGGCCTCCTCGATGGCGCCCCCGCTGCCATCAGCTCCCGCGAGCGGCAGAGTTGGGTCCCCAACGTGGGCTGCAGGGTGGCAGGGATGGTAGTGGCCGCGCACGGGAGGCTCTGGGCCTGGCGGGGTCCTCATGCATCCTAGGTCTCCTCCCATCAATCACCTTTCTAATTTGTATTTTTCTGAAAATTTTGTGAACAATTTGATAACATTTGTGAATAATTTGTCATATATTTCTCTGATATTTGGAATCCATAGAAATAATTTTTTTTTTAAAAAAATAGTATATATTTGTGTTATCCCCAAACTACACCATTATGTCCAATAAATTACACTAAAAAAATTATTGTAAATATAGTAATAAGACGGTATAAATATAGCTATAAGACAGTGTAACTGTATGAACAAAAATCTGGTTATTAAGATGGGCTAAAACAACCGGTTGTTGGCTAGACAGGTTCAATATTTTCTATATATCTAATTAAACTTACAAAAAATAACTTAATCTAAATCTAGGATGCTATTTTTTTTGAACGGAGGTAGTAGTCAAATAATAAATCGAACAAGTTGTGTAAACTACATTTCTCTACGTTCCATTTATTTCACAGCCCAACTTGCCGCCAACGTCAACGTGCAATCAAGCCCCGAAAGGCACGAACCTCAAATACCAAGAACAGAGCCCAGTTGTTACTGCGGAGCGTTTACTCTGAACATTAGCCCTTATTTAGTTTCCACCCTAAAACTTTACAACATGTCATATCGAATGTTTAGACATATGCATGAAGTATTAAATATAGACTAAAAATAACTAATTGCACAGTTTACGATTAATTGACGAGACGAATCTTTTAACCCTAATTAATCTATAATTTAACAATAAAGTGCTACAGTACACATGCGCTAATTATGAACTAATTAGGTTTAATAAATTTGTCTCGTAGTTTCCTAACGGATTCTGTAATTTGTTTTTTTATTAGTATCGAACATCCTATGCGGCATTTCGTGTAACATTCGATGTGATACTCTATAACTTTAGAGGTTGGATCTAAACGAGACCTTAGTAGTAATTGGAATGCGCGATGCCCCAAATATTTTGCAGCAATTCCAAAATTCATGCGCGCCAGTCTGACAGAGGACTCCAAGCACGTAGAAAGCCGCGAGTACATTACAGTTGACTTGCATTGCATTCAATTTGCAAGACGACCGTAGCTGGTCACCAATATTTGGATCTGAGGGCAAAAGTTTGGTGCTAATTAAGAAGATTAAATATAAGTTAATTATAAAACTAATTATACAGATTACAGACTAATTTACGAGATAAAATTATTAAGTCTAATTAATCTATTATTATCATATATTTACTGTAATACCACGTTATTAAATCATGAACTAATTAGGTTTGATGGATTTGTCTTATAAATTAGTCTCGATCTTTACAATTAGTTTTGTACTTCAAACTAGTGTCAAACATCATCAAGTTTACGTGGTTGGTGATTTTGTGCTGAGCGGCAGACGGGTGGCGGCACTGGCGCCTGAAACTGAAGGGACGTTCTGCTCTGCTCGTGGTATATCGAGGCGAGTAAGGGTCGTTTGGTTGGTATTTTAGCTTTGGTTTTTGGTTTCAAAAGCCAAAAGTCCAATCAAAGATGTTGTTTTTGAAGATTGTTATTTTAAAAAGCAGCTGTTTTTTCGTAGTACATTTTTGAAAGTCGGTTTAACCTTATTTTTGGCTTTTGGCTTTCTGCTTTTCGAAATTGGTGGAATAAAAAGCTCTTCCATAGTTGTTTCAAGAGAGATAAAGATAGAAGGTATATTTTATACTTGTTTAACCAAACAACTTTCAGCTTTTTTCTATGACTCACACCACAAAGAACTTTCCCACGACTTACAACCCACAACAACTTTTTTCCACCCACAGCCATGACTCAACCAAGGCCCGTGTTTACATCCCTAAGCTCCTTGTAGCATTTCGTTTGATTTGGATGGTCTAATTATGGACTAATTAGATTCAAAAAGAGCTGGATGCAATTAGTTTTTTTTTGGCACCGTGCTCATGCCGTAAGATTCGATGTGATGATGCATCGCATAAATTTTTAGAATCTCAGTAAACACACCGTAAGCTCAGCTGATGGTGGGTATAGCGCTGGATGGTTGAGGCGCCGTGCTCACATTGTCGCGTGACCACCCATGCTCATCCTGGGCATAACGTTGAGCGCCGGGGCGTGGACTACAGTAGCCAGCTTATGCCCCCAAGGTATGTATATCTATCAATCTAATCTGTGTTTTTTCTTTGCACTAGATTTTTTCGCCATGGTGTCATAGCACATTTTTGGCCCCGTTCGTTGGTCTGAAACTTGGCTGAAAAATACTGTTCCGGCTGAATTATTATGAGAGAAAAATATTGTTCCGGCTGAAAAAAGAAGCCGAATAAGTCGAATATAGAGTAAGCCGAACATGGCCAATCATTAAGACGAGGAGAAGAATAACTACTTCATCAGCTCTAAAATTCTAAATTATCTGTTATTTTGGCTTTCGTAGAGACAATGTGTTTATTATGTATCTGAACATAAGCGTATATCTAAATATATAGAAAAAACTATATAAAGCCAAAACAACCTATAATTTAGCATGAGAGGAGTATAAGAGACTGGTAAGCCAAGACAACATATAAGTCAGATATTTTATTTTATTAACAAACATTTTATAGAGATGCTAATGCCATTGTTAGGACTTGTAACATACTTCTATTGTAGATTTATGTTCATAGGAGAGTTCCTCGTGCCTTTTAGGCATCCACGAATTCATGTGTTTTGAGCGCCCTTCATATAGTCTGGTCATCTGAAAAATTTCAATACTCTTGGTCGATGTGATTTTGAACGTCTGATGCTAAGGTATGGAATCAAGTTGCTGTGGTTTGTGTGCGCACGCAGACTTTGGCCTGGTTTAGTTCCTAAAAATTTTCACCCCAAACTATCACATCGAATCTTGCGGCACATGCATGGAGTATTAAATATAAACAAAAAAGAACTAATTGCACAGTTTGGTTGAAATCGCGAGACGAATGTTTTAAAACTAATTAGTCCATGAGTAGCCATAAGTGCTACAGTAACTGCATGCGCTAATGATGGATGAATTAGGCTTAATAAATTCGTCTCACAGTTTTCAGGCCAGCTATGTAATTAGTTTTTTTATTAGTATCCGAAAACCCCTTCCGACACTTCAAAACATCCGATGTGACATCTAAAAATTTTATTTCGTGAACTAAACACAGCCTTTATAAAAACATTTTGGATCGGAAGTTAGAAAGTTTAATGAAGGGATGTAATGCAACTAAATAACAATGGTAACAAATAGACAACTGAAAAGTTAATAGTTATAATAGTAGATAATATTTGATGGGTGGTGTCGAAATATGGGCGAGATACCCATAGCAGTTAGTGGTAGCAGATTTGGTAATGTAGACTCAATCGGGAGGTGGTGGGGAAGAGGAGTGGTAGTGAGGAAGGAAGAGAGAAAGACTACACTACAAAAAAAGGTTACACGCTACCCGATGAAGATTTATCCGTTGCCATCCCTATTCTGACATCGCCTGTGACAGGTTCCATTGATCTCTCCTCCTTGCATCCGACGGCAGCGCGCCACGACAGGCTGTACAACGGCCTATTGATCGACAGCTTCGACGAGGAATCCTGCCACAGCAGGTACCAATCCGCCATGTACCGCGGGAACCCCGGGAGGCGACCCTCCCCGTCCCTCGTCTCCAAGCTGCGACGGCACGAGGCTCTCCAATGACGGTGCGGCCCAGGCACCGTTGCCTACAGGAACGCCCTGGAGCAGCTCAAGTCAGGCAAGAGCATCACGTCACCGGCAGAGTGCGCGTACATCGTCTCCATTTCCTACAGCGGCCTCGGGAACCGGATCCTCGCCGCCGCGTCGGCGTTCCTGTACACGGTGCTGACCCACAGCGTCCTCCTCATCGACCCCAGCAACGAGATGGACGACCTCTTCTGCGAGCCGTTCGCCGACACGACGTGGCTGCTGCCGCCGGGCTTCCCGGTGACGAACTACACCAGCTTCGGCGTGGACACCGCCGAGAGCTATGGGAACATGGTGAGGAACAAGGTGATCTGGAGCGGCGGCGGCGTCGCCGGCGTGGACCGCCGAGCTATGGGAACGCGAACAAGGTGACTGCCGGCGGCGCGCGCGCCGCGCGTCGTCCATCGTCACAGACGCCCGCCCTAG